AACTGTGAGCAATAGTAACATATAACATACAATAGTAAAAATATATGCATTTTGGAGCATGGAGTAATATTATGGAGCAGTTTGGATGAGGAGCTGAAGAAAAATTTCCACTATAAACAAAATCAAAACACTTTAAAAATAATACATCTTATACAAATTAGAGCTTATAAGGAGGAAAATTATCAACTGTTTGCAACTCATAATGTTAATATAATGCATATGGTCAATAAAATTTATTTAGTCATTATTGTGAAGGAGGCAGACTTCATAGAACTTTGATTTATAATAATTTTTGTGAGATTCAAGTTATTTCTGAGACCATTGTGGGTTTTTCTCTCTTTTAACAAAGGTTACCAATGATTCTGTCAATGTGTTTCATTGACAAAATTAAACATATTTCTTCTGCAAACTTTTACTATTGTATTTTTTCCCCCATTATATTAAAGTAAATTCCTTTTTCTTTTTCTTTTTTTTGGTTTAATTATATACTAATCATATTTTGTCCTGCTGCATTGATTTGTTTGTTTTTCTTTTAATAATATTCTACTACATTATAGATACTTTTGATGACTTTCAGACAAACAAAAGAAGCAAACACTGCGGCCAAGGTTTCAGGTTTGAGAAATTGCTTTGCAGGTGGTAAACATTGGTTTACCACCTGCAAAGGTGGTGGTTTACATTCACATATATCCCACCCACAAATCTAAATATGGTCTGGATCTTGATGAAGGCACAGACACCAAAAGATGCTCCCTGCTGAACTGCAAACACAAATTAGTTTGCACTTCTTTAAAGATCTGCTTCAATTATCATTGAAGATGTGTGATTTTATTATTACACCTAGGTATTGGCTGCCTGTTGTGTGTCAGAACTGATCTTTTCCCCAATAGTTTATCTAATTAAGACAGTTCCTCTGTCCGTATATACTGTACAGTTATAATCTTCATTCTGCATGTGGCAAAGATTTGGAAATGGAATGAGAGCGGCGTCCTTCCGCTAAGTGTAATATTTTGATGGGCTGGACCCATGATGTTTCCTCATCTTCAAACATGTATGATGTAAAATAAGAATATGTGGCAGACTGGGGATGTATATAATATATTTTTTAACTGTTAATCGGGGCAACCTTCTGAGAGGTGAGCACAGAGGTGAGCAGCTGCCATTCTGTAATCTCTAAGCAACTTCTGAGTAAGATTACAGCTTCTATCAAATCTGTTGTCATGTCTTGTGGTTATTTAAAGAGTTTGTCCCGAGTGATCTCTTTTCAGAGAAAAGACCCGAACAGAGCCTATCTTTAACACGATATACAAACCTGCTATAGATGAGGTAGGCCTAAATGTATGCAGCTAGTGGCATCATATAATGACCTAGTTTATCATTTCTTAGTAGAACAAACGAATTAAACGGATGGATAAGCACAGTGAAGAGAAAGGAAGGCAGTGCTGGGCAATGAAATATGCATCATGTAACAGAGATCGATTCATACATTTTTTAATTTTTTTCCAAATCTGGATTGTTTTCTTCCACCAATGCAATTCTTGGGCTGCCTTAAGTTGGAGTGACATCAGTTCATCACTTTAGTTTATAGATTCAATACTTTCTCTATAATTTGCTGCTTTTCTAGTGATTACCCCAAAAAACCCACAACAGCGTTTATGATTTATCTATCGACTGTTCTGTTTCAGTGACAGTTTGTCGTTTGTGCAGCTCATATTCTGACATCATCAGGCCGAGATGGCACCAAACAATCAATCAGCTCCAGCTGATTTCCCACTAATAAACAGGAAGCTCTCAGTAGGAGGCTCCCTCTGAGGTTAGACTGACATCAGGAGGTTGCAATAGAAAGACAGACCCATGCTGATGACAGCTGCTAATCGTCAGGGATGACATTTCTATTAAAATCACCTTATTATTTTAAAGGTAGGGGTAGTGGAGGAAGGTTTAAAAATATTCATTTAAATATTTTTTATCATTCCCAAAGTGGAAATGTGCTTGAAAAGACAAAAAAAGTTACATATAAAAAAATGACTTTTTCAAAGATGCTGACGGTACATTTCTACATGGTCTCTGCTTTCACTGTCGCCTACTGAGGGTTTTACCTCAAGTCCACTCTTGCCCCCCGCATTGAAAGAGACTGATCTGTTAAGTGATTTTCTGATAAACTATAAACCATCTTCTTCAATATATGTATCAGATTCTATTTAAACTTATTCACTTTCCACACTCTTAAAACATACAGTACTTTCAGTTTCCCTGAGATAATCTCTTTACTTTACATGTTATGCAGGCCAATTAAGAACTAAATGAGTTAAAGACAGGGAATGAGGGTTAAAGACTAACGCACTATTCCCGCTTTATGACTTTGTGATTAGACACTTTTTTTCTTATCAAGCTATAAACCTGCAGGCATTATTAAAGGTAGGGCCTTCAGATGTTCTGTAGATTTGCTGCAGCTGGAGAAGAAATATTCAGTGAGACGGAGATGCTCTGCAGAGCAGGATTAAAAGCACTAATCACAGAGGGAAGAAATTTTCTTTTGAAGATATTTCATTCCAAGCGTTGCTGTTTTAACATGTTTCATTACTTTACACAGGAAAACAGACATTGGTATTTCTAGATGAGTGTTTTCCAGTGGAGTTTATTCATTTGGTTTGCTGACGGTATCAAAGCAAAGGCCTACAGATCAAAGCAGATAGGTTGTATTATTATAGACCGTATAAGCACCTACCTGATACGTGTTGTCAAAGCTGTCGTACATGAACCGCGTGATCAGAGACGTCTTCCCAACTGCAAGACAAGAAGAAAAACAGGTAGATTCCATTAAAGGACAGTGTAGGAAACTCAGCCTTTTTGTAATTCGGAAACTAGGGGACCTGGGAGGAAACTGGATGCTGCTCTGTCTGTCGTTAGGCTGGCAAGGGAGCTCATTAGAGGGAAAAGGTGACAGAGAAGGTCAGGAAAGGCTTCCTGGTCCAGATGTAACTGCAATCAATCTGTTGCTGCAAACGGTTTAGATTTCCCAAGAGCTGAAACATTTTACTGGCCAACTTTTGCTGGATGATAAATTGTCCCAAAAATCACTGCGATGGAGGATAATATTGTCATTCAGTTTCAATCCAAAGTGTTCCATACTGTAGCTGTTACATTCGGCTTTGAAACAGCATCAATCCTTTTTTCTTAATTTATTTTAAATCTCAACAAGCATTTCTCTGACTTGCTAGTCCTCAGTCGCAAGGCTCTAATGCTAGACTGGAAACAATACGGGGATGGGTGAGAGGAGACGAACCCCCGCAGTGAAACCTTATGTCATCCAGACTCTTAAGCACAAAGAGAGACGGAAGGAAAAACAAGCAAGCAGGCAAATGTTAATTATTGAGCACATTTTAATTGATCATTTAAGTCATTTCTATCATATGATTAATTGATTTATTGCTTATTGTGACGATTTATTGTTTTAATGAGTTTTAGTATGAAACATGGAGATAAATGCCAGATAAGCAGATTATTTATTTCAGTAAAGGTAAGAAATTCATACTTTTTCTTCACACAAATGTTGAGGACTTTTAGTCTGTATCTAATTGGGAGAATCATGATATATTTATTTTCTACAGTGGTCAGGCTTTAAAAAAGGATAGAGAATGTCTGCAGAAAGAAAACAGGCTGAAGGGAACAGATGGGGAACGAAACACAAACAGCTGGAAGGATGGAGAGAGAGAAAGTGATGGAAATCTAAATAAGTCATTCAAGACAGTTTACATTTAAAAAAGAAAAAAAAACACTTGTCTTATTTCAAGTGCACATTATCTACTTATATTATTTTAGAGAGCAAAAATACTCTTTTCATTGATAAATCGTCCTATTTACCTGCTCAAATTAATGGCAAATACACTTAATTTAAGAAATGTTGTCTTATTTCTAGATCGTTTTTTGCAGTGTAAACACTGTCTTACAATCTTAAATCTAGTCAAAAAGGATTTTTTTAATCTTGTTTTAAGATTAATATACTAAACAAGAGCAGATTGTTAGATTATTAATCCTGAAAACAAGAAGTCTTACAGGGTGCAAGTGTACTGCCAGATTATTGCTCCAATTTTGAGAAGAATTTTCACAAAAGAAGATTAATTATCTAACAGATTCTGCTTCTGATCAGTATATCAGTCCTAAAACAAGATGGATGCACAAAGAGATGAAAGCATTGAAAGCCAGACATTCAGATGAAATGATGGATGGATAATCTAAGTTTGGAAATCTACACTGCAAAAACTGGTCTAAAAATAAGTAAACTTTTTTTTTAATTAAGAGTATTTGAGCAGATAAATAAGATAATCTGCCTATAAAAATTTGTATTTTTGACCAAACATTATGAACGTATATAAGATAATTATTTTTTTCAAATCTTATTCCATAGGTTAATCCTCTTATCTATTTAAATCAAGGAAAAATAATTAAAGGTGTTGTGGAGGATTTTCGCGATTTTTTTAAAAGACCCACTCTGTCCACTTAAAAAAACAAAAAAAAAATGCTCCCAGGAAGGAACGCCTATGAAGGAACGCATATGAAATACCTTACCTTAAAGTTTTTGCAGTCAAAATATACTTCAATACTATTTTCTGTTTCCATGTCTTTACAGACATTAAACACACATTCTAATGAAATTATGACCTTATTGAGACTTTCTAAAACTGTGAAATAGGGTATTTTTAATCAATTTCTTTTATTTAGGCTTTAATTAATCAGGATAGTCCCAGTGAGGTCAAAATACCTAGTTTTCAAAGGAGTCTTGGCCACAAGACAGAGAATAACAAAACACAAAAAAGGAACTAGATTAAATAAAAATATTAAAATAGTGGTACATGTTAATGAATTAACCCTGAGAACCTTTAGCAGGGAAGTGAAAGAACCAAATGAGATGTGTTCAGTTAATTTCAATTCTTCAGAAACTTTCAGGAGGAATGAAATGAGTGAACAAATGTGACAAAAGGGACTGAAAGAAGCAGCCAATATTGTGAGCAAAAGGCATACCAGTTAATATTTCTCAGTGAAATCCTTTCAGAATAATCCAAATCAATGCAAACTGTCCTATTTGTATATGTATTACTAGCTGGACTAATGCTACAACACTGATGTTTGACAGCAAGTTGAAAAGGTCAGTAAAGCTCTTGGATCTGCAATAGTGAAGCAGTAAACTCTCAGGATGTCATAAGCTAACGCTATCTGTTTAAATATCAGCTTCACAGACACAGCCTTATGACAGGGTTAACTTTACTTAATGACTCAAAGCAGTAGCCACTCTAAGCCTTCACTAAGCTATGCAGCACATATCCAGCCAAATGAGCAACTGGCCATAAAACCAGCTCCTCTCACAGCTAATAGCCTGCTAATTCAGGTGCAAACTGGAACCAGCTGTGCCCCCAGTCTGCCAACGCCAACAAAAAGAAAAACCTTGCAGACATGCAGATATGTCTGTATTAATTAGAATATATAATGACTGCTTTCCTAGCAGGGTTGGATCATCGCAGGTGAAATGATGGAATGTTGCTGAATTATACTACTTGTGATAAATTAATAAACACATTTTCATGCATTTCTGCTTCAATTTACTGCAGAGTACCAACCAGATAGCAGCTTTAGAAAATACTGGAGGAAAATTTATTTCTATAACATGGATTCACTGGAAAAATTTTGGGGTAAAAAAAAATTGAAGAGAATTTAGTTTTTTAACTAAACATCTCCAAAAAAATACAATTTAGAAATTAAACTACAGAAAACCTAAATAAAAAAAGGTTTTGAGAGTAATTTTGGTGTTTGCTCAGATTTTATTTTCCCAAATCATTTATTTCTTTTATTAGATATTTCAAATTTTCTTTTTAAAACTTTTTTTATAAGTTTCATTTTTTTAACTAATAGATGATAATGATTTTAATAAATGACTTTGATAATGACTTTAATAAACTGAAAACTGAAATTTATTACATGAAACAAAAAAAAGTGTAAGGGGTGTGAATACTTTTGCGCAGCACAATGTCTAGCTTTTATTTACATGGTTTCTAAACAGCCATCACATACATTTGCACCCCACAAAAATAAAGCAAACAAGCTCTGCAAACAATAATGTCTCACACTTCATGTCTTGTGTCTGTTTAGTTCTGCTAAATTCTGAAGAAAAAAAAAAGATTTAATAAGCTAAAATCTGTCTTTTGAAGAACACGACCATCTAGGATAAAATTAAATTCTGGCTCTTTATTTTAGTGCCACTAAAAGTATGTTGTGTCATAATCTATCATTTGCAGCAAACTTGTTGAATGTAGTTATTAGTCCTGGTGATGGATGATACATTTCAATCTTCCAAATGTTTTCCTCTTTACTTTAATTAATCAAAGTTACTGAGGCAGGAAAAATACATGGAGCCAACGAGATTCAATTCAAAACTCTGCTTGTGTCCCTGCGGATAATGAACAATAAACTTGTATCTCTTATGTCTTCAACTCCAGTGTAATAATTTAAAGCCAACAGTATACTCCATCTACTCATCTGCGTAACCCCTAGTGCAAACCTCTACATGTGCGGGCTGTGCAGCACTCGTTCTGGATTTTTATTGCTTTTAAATCATGTTTAGAAAGTGAGTTCTGTGTTCGTGTAAAGAAAAGAACCACATCTGAACACTTCACATACACAGCGCCAGCCTCCCTCTGCAAACATAATCTGGGCTATATTCACAGTTCATCAATTGGGCATCCAGTTGCAATTGTTTACAGAAAGATTTTATCAGGTAGACTAATTACAGGCGCCTGAGTCTTCACTTGGTTTCCATGGCGGCAAGGCGGAGGAAGATTTACAGCTACTGATACTGATTATTTACATTAATTTATATATAAGTCTTCTGACTTTGCTTCAAAGCTGTCCTATTTTGGTCAAATGCCTTAAGGTCATCAATTAGATCATTTCAGTCTATAAAGCTCTAAAGTGAAACAGCATAAAGTCCCAAATAGCAAGTAGACAGATTGATGAAATAAAGCTATCTTTGGATCAGCTGTTATTATGCTTTTAAGGGTTCTGCTGGGGAATCTGGGAACATTTAGGATGTTTTTAATGCAAAAGATCAAAGTTTTAATCTTAAACTCACCACATTAAGCAAAGTTTGTATGCAAAATGGTTATTTTCTATTTAAAAAGAAAAGAAGCTCTAGGAATGGATGGTCTAGTCGTTTGGTGCTTGGTTCTCTGGTTTGATTCCCAGACTGTTACAGTCCAGCCACAGGACGCTTCCCAGCAGTAGATAATAGCAGCCCAGAGCAAATTTAATTCAAAAGGACGTAGGGTTGTCACGATACTAAACTTTTCAACTCAATACCGATACTTAGGAAAATATTCGATACTCGATACCATTTTCGATACCACAAGGATAAAAACAAAGACTCCAAAATTCTACAGAAATGTTTTCATTAATAAATAAAATACAAGAAATAAATATAATAAACAATAAGAACAATATTTTGAGGTTGTATGCTTACAAATAAAGTCTGAAACTGAAAAGTGCGTAGAATTATTCAATCACACAGTGTTCTGAAAGTGCATTTTCCTCTATTCTGCGCTTTAGATGAATGACTGCTTAGGTGCCACTGGTGGTGGCACTGTATCGATACTTTTAAAAACGAGTATTGTATCCGGATACAACGTTTCAGTATCGATACTTTTTTGAGTATCGATACTTTTGACAACCCTAAAAGGACGTTGTTTTTTCCATTTAAAAGAAGGGGTTAAATGGAAGAAACAGACTCCTTTTGATAT